AGCCTGCTGCGCTGACTCCCGCTGCTTTCGTTTGTCAAACCTCGCACGCGTGTTGTCTACTCGCGTGTGATAAACTCTCCTGCATTTTCTTCTACAACCGCTGCGAGAGGCCCGCGATGTCCTGCCCTTCCCACGCTTTCGGTCGACTCGCTAACTGGGTTGTACTGGGCTAAGGACACATTCCGCACTCGCAGCCGCGGACACCTGACGTGCACACGTGGTTGGCCACCTGCGCATAACACGGCCTTTGTCTACTAACACCGTCTTTCCTGACTCTTGATTTGAGGGAACCTTCTCTGCCCGACACGATTACAACTTGCGGCACGCTCTCGAAATGCAGACTACTAAAATGCGCATGATTCAGTTGTTAGTGATAGTCGATATGCGCGGCACCTACCGCACCCTCATCCCTCAGCCGGTGTCAAGACAGGGTCAAGAAGACCGGAGGCGGTTTCGGGCGCAAAGATGGTACGTACTCACTGAAGTGCACAGCCACCTGAACTGTGGTATTTCAGCCACGTAACGTACCGTCAGTGGTTGTTTGCACCAGAAAACTGCAAAGGTCTCCACAGACGTGTGTGCCCTTCTGACATTCAACGATCTTGACATTGTATTTCTGGGTAGGCAGAAGTCCACTAATCTGACAGCTGTGCTCGCCGACGGTGACTTCGGGAGCGCAGGTCTCCACGACGGAAGAATTTACCAGGACTCTGAACTCATTGCCCGGCTTTGCTTGACTGCTCGACCAACTGACAGTGATGAAACGGGATTCGATTGTAGGCGGATGTAAAGTGTATCCATCTGTAATGTACAAAAGATTCATGAGTAATATTTTACGAAATGCTGATGGTTTGCTTAAAAAAGATGTCTGTAATTTCACAGACCACGTTTTGGATTTGGGCAATACGTGAACGCAGGAATGCGCTGCAGCGTAATAAATAGCAAACGGATCCAAACTGTACTTTAGACTAATTGGCACGTTTTTGACTACAGAATTTATTATATTTGGTAATTTAAAGCAACGTTTCCCAAGTGCAAATTTAAAGGTAGCAATCACAGCAAGATTTATTAGATCCATGGCATTTCGAGAGAGCTCTTCAGTTGCTGCCTCTCATTGCGTAACGTGAATGCCCTAAGAGAAAATACTAATTGAATTCATGCAGAAAAATCGATACAAACACAGGGTCATAAGAAATGGCCAAGAGGCTAATCAATAACATA